ACAATCTTCTAATGGATCGCATGCTACTAAAGTTTTGCTGAGTCTTGTAATTGGATCTCCTTCCATGTTACTAATTAATGGCATATTGTTGCATTCTTCATTCTAGTGTGCCAATCAATCTACATAGGTATCAAACTTTACTGCTGATAAGTGTTAGACAGAGATAATTAATTTTTGAAACTTTTTGTCCTGTCAATTTTTTTCTTTTGCATCTTCTTTCCTCAATTGTTCTGGTTAATTGGCCTGAGTGAAGCTAATCTGCTCATTTCAATGGTCAAGGTGACATGCTAAATACCAATGTTGGTAGTTAAGATTTGAATGGGAACGTGTTTTACTTATATTTGCTGTGTAAGGGCCACCTCAGATGATCTAGGTTGCTTTTTCACTTGCATGTCCCGTCCCCATTATGGGCTAGAATTATATATGTTCCTAGATAACGGCTCTCATATCGAACTAATAGATTAAATTATGTTTATGTTATTTCACAACTGTTTGCAGTCTGCAAAAAAAATGTCAGCACTTGATATTTTAATGGCATGCATATATTTTCACCTTCTAGAAGTTCTGAATTCTGATGTCTTACTAGTTATTTGAATGTAAGAGAGGAAAAAGCTCTATGTTCCACGTGTGGAGGACAATAATGGCAACATGAAAATGCTCATGATATCCACTGTTGATTATCTTACTGCAAGCTCAATGAATATATTGGAACCTGCCTTGGTAGATTCTGATGGACATCAACGTGAAGATGGTATGCCTTATCATTTAAATGTTCAACCAGTGCTTGTTCCCTCGATCTGAAATGATAACTGTATCATCTTTGGTTGAATAAGTTATGCAGGCAAGTGATCCGGTTGATTTATTCATCCTCCCTGGTAATTTTTCTTCAACCATCCTTTTCGATTTCCATATTAAGAAATGCCATTGTACTTTTATCAGTTTACAAGATATACTTTTGTATATTAGTTCCCACTCCCACTTACTATATATAAAGGAATAAATCAAGCAAGAAGGAAAGGAAGGAAAGGAAGGAAAAAATGGATATCTAAGCTGATGTTTGATTGCTTGTAATTAATGTCTCTTTTCCTTTTTTTGGTACGTAAGGCTGCGCTTCCAAGCACAATGAACAATTAATATGTCTCTTTTATTTCCCTTTTTCTCTTTTTGTGCATGTGCTTGCATGTGACTTATCATTTCTATTTTTACAGGCCTTGCTTTTGACAAATCAGGAAGCCGTTTGGGCCGTGGTGGGGGGTAGGTTGATGTTTTGAGGTTTTGTGTCTTATTGATCATTGTTTGATATCATTATTAGTATATTTATTTTCTTAAAATCATCATAACATCTGTCTTTGCATATGTTTGTTTTGATAGACGTATTTTCTTTGACAGATTACTGATAAGTAGACTTCATTCACTTCAATAGCAATCTGATTCAACATTCATTAAGATATCTTGTTCTGCTATTCCAATGCGTTACAATTTGTGGCAGTTACTATGATTTATTCCTGAAGAGGTATCAAGAGCTTATCGAAGAAAGGAAATGGAAGCAGCCTTTCCTTGGTATTTCCCACAGACATGTTCTTTGCATTATACCACAACAATGTTACATGCTTTTGGCTTTGTTGGAATCATATTGTTTTAAATGTCTCCTAAAAATTATATTGTTACAGTTGCGCTTTCCTATTCCGTACAAATTATGGAGGAAGGAACAATACCTGTCACTCCATATGATGTTCCTGTGGATGCTCTTGTATCCCCATCTGGTTTCACTCTAATAAGCTCAACTGCTTTGAAGAAATTCAATTGAATGAAGCTGTAGCCTTTTCTGCTGTATTTCATGGATCATCTCACGTTTTTAAGAAACTGCCTCTATCAAAATGGAGCATGGGCATATCCTTCCAATCAGCGAGTTCCAATATGGAATGTTCACAGGTCTCATTTCATTTGATTACATCAGGAAGGAGATAGCAGAGGAATAACAATTCTTAACATAGTTGTCATGATGGGTGATTGTGAAATTGAATTTATTATGGATCAGACATGCTTTCTCTAGAAGTCTGAAATGAATGATATTTTGGTCTGCTACTTAGGAAATTTCTTTCTGAAGAAGATCACGGCAAGACTCTTTCCAGCTTGTTTTGGAGGTGGTGTTGCTGTAGTGCTGCCATCATATTGCTTTCTCCGTGCTCCAGTACACCATAAGCTAAAGCAGTAAGGCCTACGACCATTTCCAGATCCCATGTTAATCCTATCTGAAAATTTTAGCCACAACTGTCTGATCTTTCTAATTTAAGGAGGTTAAAGGAACTGAAACTTGCAAACTGTAAGAAAGTGATGGATATTCCGTGCCTCCAATCCTTGGAGTCCTTGAGAAGTTTGTTCTTGATTAACTCTAATGCATGCCCTTTAGCAGTAAAGACGAAAAGGTTCATTCTCTCTCAATCCTTTTTTTGCCATCCTCTCAGTTGTTCTTATGAATTTATCATGCAACACATTTGTTTACACTGAGTTTTCAGGAAATTGCTTAGCTTTCATTTTCTTTGTTGCAGGTTTGTGCAATCTAAATATGAATGGAAACAAAATTCCAGATTGGTTTTCCCAAGATCAAGTTACCTCCTCAATCTAAAAAAACCATGAGATCAGAGGAATGATCATAGCTGTCATTATTTCTCTTTGAATGTAGCACCCGTGTACAAGCAAAGACCCTCAAAAATTATAGTCCGGAGAGTACTGGAGATCACATTCATTTGGGTCGATATCCAGCATATCACCAATTAGTCTCTAGCTTGAAAGATTGTTTCGAGAATCAATTGACAAAGCAAAACTCCACCATCCGTTCAGGCAACAGAGCTGAAGAAGGCTGGGATTCAACTAGTTTTTGAGACGGATGACGATCATGGGGTAGAAGAGGACTCGCTAGATGAAATCCAGCAGTCTCTGTCTGAAAGATTTGGGAAGTTTTTTCACTCTCTTAAGAAGACTGTATGCGAGATGAATGGTCATCAATGACAATTTTTCTACATTATATAAACAGCTTTTCAGCTTGCGATTGGAAAATGAACTTTTGATTTAAGTCTAGAATGTGGTGATGTAGCTGTGCATCTGTGGAAACCTGGCAACTCATTACGGCTCCTCAAGAGGAGAAAATAAGCTATAAGGTGGAACCAAAATTTAAAGAAAAACACTAACAGAGCAATATCTAATTTTACATCTCCCCAACTCTTATCACTCTAAAGGTTGTACTATCAAAAATGGGGAGTTAAAAATAACATTTGTACACTAACTTTTATTTGTGTCAATGTTTTTCCTTTTTAGATACCTTTGGCTTTGACTTCATACTGGCTCTTTTAGCAACATCCCAAGCCTTATGGGGTGCAAATATACCTCGCTGTGAGGCAAAAAATGACTCGTACCCAGGTGAGTCAAATGCAAAACCAGTGTGTTTCGATAACTCCCGTGGCAATTGAGATAAAGCATAGCTTCTTGCTTCCTCAGGTGTAAGATTGTTTTCGATTTCCAGTAAGTCTGTTCTGCTATCTTCAGGTTCATGCCTGTGTATTTCCTGTACAATCTGATAATCGTAGGGGAAGAACCATCTTTGAACCCTGCATCAAGAAAAGCAGAGAAAAAACGAATGCTTAAAATACAGCCAGAGCCAGTAGAAAAGCGTTTGAGATTAATAGAACAAAAAAATGACCAATGCAAATATATATATATATATATATATAAAGTAAAATCAACAATATTTGCAAATGCATATGCATTGTGCAAACAAGGATGGATGCAATAAGTGCTGTTCCCTCCACTGCTCTCCACTATTCCTACTTGTATATCTAAGAATGGAAGTGAGCCAAAATGTTGCTAGGATACTAGCATGTTTGGTGAAGCTTGTAAGAGCTTCAGCTTTGTGACACTATTCATGTTTCATAAGTTTAAATTTCCCTCTTAAAAACTTACATTTTTTAACTTCTTTTTAATTTTAAAAAGATCTTAAACAGTAAATTTTGAAAAACTTTAAATTTTTGCTTTTTATAAACTTTCATTTAATTTTTACTTTTTATAAACTTCTTTTTTACTCACTTCTTACTCACTTCTTATTATTTCTAAAAGCAACTTTTAAATTTTCCCTCCAATAAAAATTCAAACTTATGACTCATAAACAGTACTAAAAAAGTAAAAGTTCCAAGTAAAAAAGTAGAGCTCCAACTAGACCAGCTCTGTCTGACCTAGCTAAAAGAGAGGCATATAGAATAACATTTCTTACTAATTTTAGGCCTAACCTAGCTGCCATGCATACAAAATATAAAGCAGAGGTGTTCTTACCCTTGGTAAATGAAGTCAACAAGAAGTGCAGCAACAGGAATGAGAAGAAGAGCAACATAAAAGTAAGCTGTACTCATTAAGATATATATGGCCCAATAGATATTCTCCTGCAGTAGCCAGTAGATATTAAGGGTGAGGATAACAGTGAAGGTGGATAATCCACCTCCTAATCCTAAGAAAGAGAAATAAAACTTAAACTTAGCAGTTCTTACCTGGCGATCATGTTTAGTCATAAGGCCTGAATATAAAAAGATAAAAAGGAACCACGCTACAATGCTTCCTCCAACGCCAATATAATGCCATCTTGTGATTGAGTTACACATCATGAGAAGACGCAAGTTGACAGTTACTACAATACAAGTAAAGGTCATTGTGCTGACATCCCAAAGCCCAAACATTTTGCCAGATGAACTTTCAGCAGCATAACTAGAAGTGTTGACAAAGTGATAAAAGACAAGGGATTGATAGACAGCAAAGAAGGCCCATGTTGCTACAACTCTCCATTTGAAGAAGGCATTTCTTATTCCCTCTTTGTATAGTTCAGGGTACCTTTTTGAAAGAGCTGCACTGACATCCTGGAAGACATGCAGTTTCCCATTAGTAAAGAGTTGAAATAACAATGGCACTACTTTTTCATTCAGAACTGCAATAAAAAGGGTTCAGAAGTCTGATTGGATGGAATATATCATTACCTTCTCAAAAAGTCCAAGAATAATCACAGGGAACGATGTAAAAATGACATTGAACAATGACTGGAACCAATCATCGTAGAATCTTTGACCCGAAAATCCAGTATAAAAGGTGAACCAAAATTGCGTCAAGGTAAATGTGAGATTTTTGTAAAAGAAATACATCACGACCTGCAAAAGGAAATGTCATACACGTTAGCAACCAGATGTTATTAAATGATGTTCTAAAGGGTGACAGGAAAGTCTTGACCTTGCATATTCTGAGATATGACCAACGTCCATGCACAAGAAGTAGGTCCTTGAGGAAGCGAAACTGAGCAATTGCAAAATCACTAGCCATCACAGCTTGCATCCCTTCAAGCCCACTTATTCCAACACCAATATGAGCAGCTTGAATCATGCTAACATCATTGGCACCATCACCAATGCTAAGGGTAATTTTTCGTGCACCTTTCTTAACCAGACTTGTTACCTACAAAGATGAATAAGAATAAGAAATGCAAAAACTCACTGTCCTTTTTTTGTTAAGAATTACTAGAAACTGACAATTTCTGAGTATGGTTGTTTATAATATTTTGAGTTAACTGAAAGAAACTGATCAAGGTGTCCAAAGTAATCTAAGAAAACATAGGTTTAGAAACAGTGATCAACAATCAACCAATCTTCTATTGAAACACCATCTTGTTTGCGAAGTCTTTTGGAAGTCAGTCACAGAACCACCACCAAGCAGTCAATGTGGCAAATTTTGTTTCATTTGAAGGAATGATGTCATTTTAAAGTCTCAGAGCATCTATCCTAGGCCATTGAGCAGCTTCTTATGATTTAGCAGAATCATCGGGGGTTTTGTATTGAAAGAGAAGGGCCAGATACAGCTTAGTTAAATGTATGCTTTGCATCACATCACCAGGCACTCTGCACAATGCTCAAATAAGTAACTCGCGGTGAGTCACTATTAGTAGCCTACCTGTGCTTTCTGCAAAGGGGAGACTCGACAGCAAACAACTGAAGCACAGTTCAAGCTCAAAGTGAGAAGCATTGCTCGTAAACTTGGGTCCAATGCATACATCAAACATTTTCCATCTATTACAAGCGCTAATTTTGGTCCAGAAACATTGTGAAAATACTGTTGTGCTTCATCAATGCACTTCTTTAGCTTGTTTTTAACTTCTTCCTTGATAGAGCGTGCAATTTCTACCTGGTTCCCCTGATAATAGATAGGCCATGAAACCATAATTACAGACCTGAAAGAGTTTGTACGATACTGAATTCCAACTTACATGCATCTTGACCACTACAACTAAAATGCTGCTTACCCGCTCTTCAACTTCTCTAATTGCATCAGTTTCCGAGCTTATGATAAACTGTTTCATCTCATTGTTCATTAAGTTGCATGCTGCAAAAAGATAATATATTAACTAAATAAAAAGAGAAATAAAGAGGCTACAGAAGTACATGGAACACAACTTCAGGGAAAAAAACATCATAAAATACCAACTTCAATAAAGCACTCACCATAAGCAATATTTATCGCTGTTTCTATCTTATCCCCTGTTAACACCCAAATCTTGATACCAGCTCTGGAAAGAGTCTCTATGCAATTTGGCACTCCCTCTTGAAGTTTGTCTTCTATGGCAGTAGCACCAATCAAAATAAGGTCCTTTTCTATGAGTTCTGCAACCTGCAAAGCATTTCAAAATGTGGTCAACATTATCATTTAATTCAAACGACACCTGCTCAAGTGCTTTCTGCCATAAGTTGAACAATTCCAAATGCTCTGTGATAAATAACAGAAGAAAGGAAAAAAAAAAAAAAAAACAAAACCTACTAAAACTTTTCTGTTCTATTCTTATGTACTTTCATGGATTCACATTGCATGATCACATCACTCTTTCTCTGCACCTTACATCTCACAAACCATAAAATTACTCAAGAAAACTGGGTGGGATTATTGCCACACCTTAAAGTGTTAAGGCCACTCTAAGATGTTGCACTTTTACTTGTACACCTCTTTAATTAATGAGCTTTTACCGCTTCCTCTTCTCACAAAGGAACAAGAGAGTAAAAAAGGTATATGTAGAGTGGCCTCAAACCTCCCTCTCAAAAGTAAACACCAGCAAGATTCTACCATAAGGGATCCTAAACAAAATTCATAAAATGTAATAATATACACAAGTATAGGGCACACAGAAACGGACACAAAAACTCCATCAAATAAAATTTACCTCATCCAACTTTTTCTCACGATCCCGAAGAGATGATTTAGCATGAATAAATTTCTCATTCCAGCTTTCATACACATCAGGAACTAAATCTCTATAGGCCAAGCAGAGGGTGCGCAGTCCAGAAGCTCCAAAATTTTCCAAGTGTTCTCTTGTCACTTTCCTCAAATTATCGTTTCCAACAGTCAATCGTTCAAAAATTACAGTATCAGCACCCTGTGAAAATCATTTTTCCGACCCAGTGTCACTTTTTGGCAGCTTTAAATGGAATACTTAACCTATTTTAGAATTTCTGAAGAATGGTTACCTTACAGTACAATACCAGCCTGCCATCTGGGTAACGACATACAACAGATTGGCGCTTCCTTGTACTGTTAATGCAACAAGGAGTTAATTCTATACAATCAATCTGAATTCATAAATGATGAGATGTAGAACTGTCCCCACCTATTGAACTCAAGGACATTCAAAATCTCGTAAGAAACATCTTGGACCTTTCCCATCCTCTCGACATGAGATTCACGAACATAAATTGCAGTAGGTGTACGCCTGAGGACAAAAAAAATCAATTATTAGCTTCAGATCAAGGTGCAAAACCAAGGAACATGAGTAAATCCCTCAAGTATCAAAAATCAGATATAACAGATAATTTTCCATTTTATGTAAGAAAAAATAATAGAGTACAATTTGTGGCTATTTTTCATAATTGTTGCTCAACCTGTACTCCATAATTCCAAATTCCTGAGAAGTTATCTCTTTTGAAAGAGAAGATTCTGATGAACCTTGCCAAAAGTGATGACTCAGTAGAATGACCCAATGGTAAAGAAGAACACACAGAAATCAATAGTGTCAGATCACAGTGTCTATCACTTATGCATTTTTCCTTTTTAGTTATCTTCTCTAAAGAAATGACACATCTAGCAGAGGGAGATAAATGACTTTGTTAGATTATGAAAGGACAGTGGATGGGCATAACAGAGAGAATTGACTAACTGATTCAATGTTCAAAGTTCAGGTTTTTTTGCCAAGGCTCATTTTGGAATTCAATGCTAGATCCAATTCAACTAATTTTGAACCATCTTTGGATTGAGAGGAGTAAGGGGAAAAAAGAAAGCAGGGGAGAAAACCTCTCTTATTTGTGAACTTTAAGGTAATTGGTACCCCTCCTTCCCCTAAAATCCCTAGTTTTATGATTCCCCAAAGGGAGTGCGAGGAAAGGGCTTAAATAAAATTGACAGTAAGACCAGTTTTATCCTTACATAATGTTAGCATCTCTTTTATCCATATAGGAAAAACAGAAAAAGAAGAAGAAGAAGAAGAAGGAAAAGAAAAGAAAAGAAAAAGAAAAAGAAAATTGCAGTATTTTATCAGAAATTTCAATTTTCCTTCCTTTCCACTTCTTAAAAATACAAATGAATATAAAATCCCACCCTTTCCTTTTTCTTTGACTCTCTATAAACTAGCCAAACAAAGTAACCCCAAATTCTTTCCTTAGGACTCTTGCAGATTTCTGACCACATTCCACATGGATCATCTTATACCTTACTTTTTGGAGCTCGGTTTATGAAATGAGAAGAAACCAAGAAAAAGGTATCAGAAAAAACCCTCCCTCTCCTTTCCCTTCTCCTATTCACATATAACTATTAAAGGGCAATCAATCAGTTCAAAATAATTCATTCCAATCAATGTTAACACAATTAAGTTGCTTGTAGTAAGGCTCCAACAGATTTGCACTAAATTTCAGATCCACAGGTCTAACAGTGAGCCAGATGCTAATTGAATTCAAATCAGTCTCAGTCATGCATTAAAAATGCCAGAGAACCTATTTTCAGAACAAAATTTATGTTCCATTTAAACGTAACTAATGAGGCAATTCAACCTCTCATCAGGCGTGGGTTTTAATTAAAATCAAACCTGTAAAAGAAGAAACCAAAGTTCTTTGCAGCAATAACCAAAGCAGCCTCATCTGGTGATGCAGCTTGATATTTGATCTTTTCAGGGGACACATCACCTTCTGGAAGTACAGTGTGACATATTGCAAGACATCTGAAAAATTCCTGTTCAAGAACCAAAAAAATAAGTCAATAGCTTAGGCTCTGTGAACCTCTCATCCTTTAAAGAGTATCTAAAACCACATCAGGTAGAAACTTATGTTAGATTGAGGTGGAAAAAAGAAAAGAAAAAAGAAGTTGCATTTAAATATAACCAACCATAGTTAAATGTATTTCAAGGAACATCATACAAGCAACTTCAACAATTATTCTTCATTCTATTTTAATGGACAAAGAAACCTACCTTGCAAGCATCAGCATTGACTTCATTTCTCCAAGCTCCTCGCATAAGCCTCTCATCAACAAAATTAAAACCCTTTTCATGCACTGCATTGGTCAATTTTTGTTCCTAGATTGGATATTAGGACATTTTAAAATATTATCACCTCATAACATATGAAATCCAAAGAAATTTTTATTGAAAAGGAGATTGACTTTAGAATGATATCAAAAAGAATACCTGTAGTTTAATTCCATTTTGTTCTGCAATTCCCCTTTCTATTTCAGTAATCCCAGTTCCATACATTTCCCCTCCAATTGAGCACTTAAAGAACTCCATTAAGTTTCTTGTCAAAGTTCCAGTTTTATCAGAAAATATGTATTCTACCTGGTCATCATAGCAATTCAGAACAACTCAAAGGTTACCAAAAATTAAAACACTCTCTGAACTGAAGTCATGTAAGCCAAAATGGCATGCAGTTACCTGCCCGAGTTCCTCATTCAAGTTGGAAGTCCTAGCCAGTGCAGGGGTGTTAGTTTCAGCATGGTACATGTTTATATCCCTGTTGATAAATTGAGTGGACTGGATAAACTTGATCATCTGAAACCAGAAAATGTGTGCTGAGACAAAATACAATGGACAAAAAAAGAAGCAGGAAAGGAAGAAGAACCATTTAGTAAATAGCAAAAGGAAAAGAAATGAATAGAAGGGAAAGAATCCAACCTCAATAGATACATATAGAGATATTGGGATAATTGTTGAGTATAAAGTAAGTAGAGTTAACATTGTCAAAAGTGCTACCTGTATAACAAGCAAACAGAATCAAGTTAGAGAGAAACCCAACACCATTGTATAGGGATCATGTGACATCAAACATATCATACCAGAAACCGGTTATTAGGGTTGAATTGATCTTCCACACCTTTATCAAGACCCAAAAAGTAATACTTTTTGTTTATGAAAACACCGCTGCAACATTCAAGAACAAAAAGATTATTATCGAAAATTTTTATGAACTTAATGAAATTCGATGACTGCCAGCATATAGTGGAAACAGATTAGTTATACCTGCCTATTGCTCCAATCAGACACATACTGAAGAGAGTGCAAAAAAGAGCAAGTATAAGTTTGTCAAGTTTCCTCTCTAATGTACTTCTTTTTGAAGGGACATTCATGGAATTCATCATAACCTGAATATTTAGCCCAAATTTCAACAATACTACCTGAGGTTAGGAGAGTAGACCAAACAGAGAAAAGAGAGCATCCTTAACCATAAAGTGCCTCATGTAACAGACCTTTGTTTCATGACCAGTGAAAATAACAGCCCCAACTATGTACTGAGTGTTCTTCAGACTGCAACCCTGAGAACATATATCATTAGTGTCAGTACCTTGAGTTAATAAATGCAATAGTCTCCAAATACTTTTAAAGCACTTAACTTTTGAAAAGAGAAAAAGCACATAACCAAAAAAGTAAAGAGTTATGATGGAAAAGAAATTTCAGAGCATACTCTCAGCAAAAGTTGATTAGGAGAAAGAGGCAATGTTTGATTCTCCATAACAAGATTGCCAGTAAAAGTGTACAGTGAGTTGTTTGGTTGCTCGCATTGCACTTCACCTGCATTTTGCAATACCTTTGCTATTCAGAAACTTCAAAATAATAAAAATAATGAGCAGTAAAGTAACTTCTGAATGTATGAAGTGGACCAAGAGCCATCAAACTGGAAAAAAAAGTCTCCACTAAACTCATCACAAGCATGATCAAATTTATGAACAGGTTAGATTGACTATAATAACATAAAAGATATTACTAGATTTTTCTGTGTTAACTTCATCCACACAACACATAATTACTAAGAAATAATGACAGTTCTAAGCAAACATATGAATCCAGCTAATAACCTAAAAGTAGTGACAGGACATTCCAGAGTGGCAGGCAGAAATAGTGAAAAGTGAACCTTTGAATTCAAAGGCTTTCTCAGAAGTCAAGTAATCCCAAGTCCTTTCCAGTGCCTTTCTGATTTTCAAATTGGTTTCCCCATCCAAATTTGCAGTCTGCAATCAAAAAGTGAAGTTGCTTTAGTTTAAAGATAAAATTAAAATTACTGGACCATAAATCCTTGACAAAACAGTCACATATTTTACAAATAAACAAAATAAAAATAAAATAACAGGTCTATACAGTATTTAGAAAATAAAGTACCTCAACATAGCAGATACCATCTGGGTTTGTACTAGCAAGTAAAAGCAAATCTGCAGGAAAAAACCCGTCTTGCTTAACCTGCAATAAGTAGAAAATTTCCACCATGTTCTCATACTATTATTCAACTGTTAATTTCATGCAGGACAACTACTCTAACTCCTAATATTTAAACCAGCATGGAAATATAAAATTATAGCATGTTGTGTAACAATTCACATAAATAAAGAGAAGAACTTTTTACAACTCATGATATTCTGGAAAAAGGTGAAGGTCACTATTTTCAAGTTAAACTATTAAATCAAAATAAAGCAGGCCACACACCACACGCCACAGTTTGCTTCAATTGCAAGGCTCCAATTGAGCTAATGATCATTATGATATTGTGTTGGAAAGAGAAACAACAATACCCACTGTTGGTGTATCAAGGGAAATGCCATAATTTTGAAGCCATAAATGATCTCTAAGCATCCAAAGAAGAAAACATCAGATTGCGGAAACAGAGAAAACTCAATACTAACCCTTACAATATCTCCAACCTGCAACCTTTTCCAGGGAATACACTCCCACCTTTGATCTTGCAACACATCTACAAGAGTGTTATTTATTGTCATATCGTTCTGCAAACGCTTCTGTTGTACATAACAAGGGGAAACAAAAGGAACTAAAAGCTCAGCATTTGGTTATATTTCAAGTTGAAGTTCAAGGGTACTCCCTCCCAAAAAAAGGGCCCCAACCCCTTCCCAACCAAAATAAAAAGAATTAAAAAAAAAAAAAGAAATAATGATTTAGGGCGACAACTGCATTACAAAATTTAGTACTTACCCAATCCTCAAAGGCTTCTTTAATGAGAGAGACTAACAGCACCAAACTCAAGGGGACCACATTTGTTATTGGATGCACAGGACTGCGTCATCAGAAAAAGCCTTGAGTACTTTGGGCATGTATGTTAAGATCACAAGTCCATTGGTTAGATATTATAGATAACTTGCTGCATGCTTTAGCCTACAGGCAATAAATCACTCACAATGGAAGGAAGAAAGAGAAAGCAAAAGTGAGGTTTCACATAGAAGAGAAGCCAAATGTGAAAGTAGTCAACAAATACATGGAAAGAAGAAGTTGGATTGAGGATATGCAAAACAATATTTGCAAAGTGCCCTTCAAATTATTGTGATAAAAATAAGTGAAACCATTTTACTGCAACTCTGAAAGAGTGTTCAGTAGGCCTGAAGATAATCTTTTTGAAATAATTGACCATTAAACTCACATGCACATCCGGATGAAGAAATATCATATATTCACCTCTCAAAACAGTTGAAGCAACATCCAACATTTTTTTTGGGAAGAGCAGCTATAAACTTCCCATTTCTCAAAGAATGAAAAAAGAAAAATAGAATAAGGAAACAAAGAACCCCTATTGTGGGACCAACTATGGCACTCCTGGAAGCATACTTTTTTATCATGATTGAAATGAACATACCTATAAGGTGTTGCTGATAAAATTGAGACCATAAGAAAGTACAAGTTTGCTACCCGTCTGAACTGTCAGATAAAACACAATTTGTCAGGAAATAAGTCACCACAATAAAAAAACACAGTAGGTTCTTAACTGTAAGCCTGTAACCCATTCCACAGCTACTAAACTTGACCATATAAAAAAATTTCGAACATAAAAATATCAATTAATTGAGCAAGCCAGTCACTGTGTAGTGTGTAACATGACAATTGAGGACTGACATTATCTCAGGAGAGAGAATTTTAGCATTCATGACCAAAACTTAAGCTACTTCATCGCATTTACATAACCATGCAAGGCCTACATAAACAGGACTGGCTCAGCAGTTCTGTAGAGGATAACTACAAGAAGTTAGGTATATAGACTTTTTAAAACATAGAGGCCATTACCATAGTCTCTAACAGCTTAACACTAGGTCAGGCACAAAGAAAAGCACTTGCTCTTCCTGCTTTAAAATATAAAAGTATAGCTAATACATAACTCACAGGTCAAGTTAATGGCCATCCATGTGAAGGATGTGTTTGGCAGCAGGATTAGAACAAATGACATGATTTTGAACAATTAATTAAGGCTCTAATTGTATTTCCACAAATTGGTACGTGATTGGAACGGTTTTATAAAGATATTTTCTTTTATTAATGAACAAAAGCTCTTCTATAGTCCTTCAAGTCGGAATATAGCAAACTGGAAGCAAATAATAGAGAGTTGGTCCCATACATAAAAAGATGATGGTGGACATAATCAAATACTTAAAAGCTGCAATGCAAATTTGAAATTTCCACTTTGGGCTGTCTCTTTCGATAGCTATGTAACATATATTCTTGCATTTCATTTTCATAAGTGCATAAAACATAGGATCAAACTCACATGGCACAGAACAGTCCCACCATATCTGCTGTTGAGCTTGAGTAGAAAAGGAATTTCCAAGCCTTTAATGGAGCAACATTTGCTTGTGAAGAATAAATCTAACACTCTAGGATTCTTTCACTGTTATTCTGCGATTATTTCTACCATTGGTTTTTAGGTTCTCTGACTGACTTGTAGATGGTTTAAACTTTAAACCTTAGAACTAGAATGTGATTCCTTTTCTTTTTACTATCTTCTCGGTGCTCCTTGCAAAATTCCCATAAACCTAATGAGACCATCCTTTGGACTCTTTTATAATATATTGCAACTTAGGGTAGTCAAAAAATTACCATAACAATATGGCCAACCATATCAATTTACAACTAGGAGTCTCAAGCAAGTTTACCTGTTCATACAGGCCCTTCGGTAGAAAGGAAAAAAAGTTGTACTTGGTAGTTGATATTGAGTTCCCCTGATACAATTGTAAACAGCTAATCAAAACCAAATTCAAATTATCATCAAATGCAGGCAAGAAAGCATTACGAAACCAAACAAACTCCTAACTAAATCAAACAGGTTTACACAGAACAGGAAACAAAAAATAAAATCAAGAATAACTGACACCTGCTCGCACACACACACACATATATGCAAATATATGCATGCATGTACGTGCATTGAGAAGGATGCAAATAACTTTCCACGCTTAACTAAGGTATCATTAATTGGAATTTCCAAATCAGAAAAGTGAAGTGCAGTCTGCTCTGCACAGACTGCACTTCACTTAACCATTATTGGAAGGGGCAGGCCCCTGATAGTGGAGCCACTCCTCCACTAATGGTTAACTGTTTTACAGTCCGCTGTGACAAATCTGGCATACAATAGAGAAAATAAAACACGAAATAGGATGATACAGAATTACAGAAAAGCAAGAAACTAGAAACCTAAATCTGGAGCTTCATATTGAATTTCATTCTAATTTTACAGAACAATTATAAATCATGTTTTGGCTAAGTTTACTCAGATTCCTATTCCTATAATCCTGGAAATCGAAACTCAAACTGGAGGATATTCCTATAATCCTGAAAATCGAAACTCAAACCGGAGAACGCACGGAGTAAGAGGGGAGTACCTTGAATCGGAGAACAAGATTGGCATCACGGTCGTTGCAGTAGATGGTGCGATGAGAAGGCGCTTGCGGCTGAACCCGTCCGAGCGTGACGGTGCGCGGCACGGTCCGTTGGTCCATGTTAGTCGGATTTCGACCCAGCCTCGATCTCGATGGCTTGAACCGATCCCATCCACTCATCTTCTTCGCTTTCTCTCTCCAATCCAAAAAATCAAAAATCGGAAAGCAACGAATCAGATTCCAGAAATCAACATCCAGATGGTCAGATTTCCCCTTCTGACTCTGCTCTTCTGTGGCAAAACCGCAGTATTTTCTCTCAATCTTCGTAGCCGTTAAATTGAAGAACTTCTTTGTACGGACGATGAAACAGAGAGTGCCCAACCCAATGGCCGCCAATGCTGCCTCAATTCATTTTCCACACTTTTTTTCTTTTGGAATTTTCAGTTTAATTATTTTGGGCAGTTGTGTTCATACTATTTTGGAGTTTATAACTAAACCGGGTTGATTTGTCTAAACTGATCAGCGCGTGTCGGAGGAGTGGTGAGGTCCGCTGAAAGGGGATTGGCTTGGTGAGTGTTGAATTTGGAGCGTACTCTGGAACGCGCGAGCCGAAGCGTGAACGTGCAAAGGTCATTGGCAAAAAGGAAAATTGGTTAAAGCGTCACGTTGCTGGCCCAAATTAAAAAAAAAAAAAAGTCAGAGGACCTGTTTGCGAAATAGAATGGAAATTGTGGAAAGAGGCGTACGGCGTCGTTTATGAGATATTCGATGCAGATTCCACTGCCGGAAGACATGTTGAATGAAAAAACCTCACCCGAAGTATATTTATTATATAACAAAAAAAAGTATAGACAAGTACTAGTAGCTCCAGTGGTTACTTAATATGCTATAAAAAATAATTTTATTTTATAGTGTTGAATCTCACTCCTTCTATTTATAATTTCTTTTCCGTAATTCTTTATGTTAAAAAAATATATATATAAAATTAGATGAAGTTAAATATGAAGACGATCTGCAGTGAATCCAGGCTGCACATCCCGGGGTAAAAAATAAAATCCAGACTGCACATCAGGGCAAAATCAAAAGAAAAAACAAGGCTGTACAACATTATCTCTTCATTCAGCTTTCTGATGACCATGGTTCTTATGTATCTTTGCCAATGACCATGGTCTGCATCGTGGCGCACTATTCTTACGCCTGAGAAGAACCAACTGCCCCTTTCACTCCCACCACCTGCAACTCTTTTCTTCTCTCACCAAACCCCCTCGCCCAAAAAACTGCAGATTTCTTATTTTGCCACAGCCAGGTTTTTC